TGCCCTACCTCTTGAGCTGCCCACAGAACTGGAAACAGTCTCGACGGGACTTTTCATATTGTGATAGTGAGTGAAAACATAATTTGTCCTTCCACATTAGACTCAGCTGTGACTCTACATTAACAGATACACAAGAAGAATCATCGCGTTCAAAGGCTGTTTTATTAGAAGCTTGTAAAGAACGTTTCACGTCTTACAGTTTGAAGTGTGCTGAACAAAGCTGTGTCTGCAGAGCCCGCCATGCTCAGTGAACACAACCTGCAGGAAGGTGCAGGAAACGAGGACGCAGTCTGGACGGGGTGTCGAGGGTGAACGTGTGGTTGCCAGGGGATACGTGTGTATCTGGATGTCACGCTCAGTGGGAGCTGTGGGTTGGAAAATGACCTAGTTTTAACCGGAAACACGGAAACAAAGAGGAGTGGGAGAGGGGAGAAGGCAGAGTGGAGCTGCAGTTGGAAGACCAGCAAATTCACTGGTTTGATTTCCGACAAACACAAAAAGCACAACAGCAGCACTGCAGAGGGGCTACAGTCACGACAGCTGTAGCTTTGTGTGTGTGCGTGCATACTCCTGTATGTTGAGTTTGTAGCAACAGTGTGTGAAATGCTGAACTGTGAACCCCACGCTGCTTGTTGTTGAGCTGTTGTGTTGCATGAAAACAGACTTAAATGAGAGACAGGAGGGCTGAACACACCCACAGTGTCCACAGTGAACCAGGGACAGCTTCACAGGGAAGCTGGCTGCTGGTGATGGCTGGCTAATCGATCTGATTGGAGTATAAAATGTGATTAAACAGCAAATAGCACTGTTCTCAGTTCTCAGGATGTTTCAAGCTTAATGATGAATTGTCTAATCGTAAGGTGTGCAGAGCATCCATCTCCTCGACTCCACCCAGGACAATAACATGAGGTCTGTTACTCGTTGTAGCAGACTTGGCCTTGCTGCTGGCTAATCTTTAGGTAATGTTGCTGTTGAATAAAAAGATGAGAACGTGTACGTCAGAACTCTGAGACACCAGGCCCTTTGTTCTTAGCTCACGTTCCTCCCCACACATTAAATATGTGGCGTCCTGTAGTTGTGGGGATATGATACACCTGCAGCCTGTGTTGGATCAACTCTTTGCTCACCTGTTGATGTTTCAGTCTGCCCTGCATCATAATGTACAAACCATCCCAGCTCACATGAAGCTAAGAAGCTGATCTTACTATGGGAAATATTGGTGACATATTAAATGGCAATTTTCACTTTATTACAGGCAATCGTAAGTTTGCCCATTCCTCTGCCCCACAGCTCACATATGTACATGCTCACCTTACAAAGCCTGCTCTGGAGCCTTTGCTGCTTCCATGGAGATCACTGGCCACAAACAGCCACTCTGATCTTAACTGGGACTAAAATGATAAGAAATAAATGTGTGAAATATAGAAAGTTCTGGTAGCTCCCAGACTCTTCACTTTAGCCTGCTTATGTTTTCTTTCTGTAACTGTAGTCGTAAAAAACTGTGATGTCATTTAACTGTTCATTGTTTAATGACTGTGAGGAGTATGAACAGCCATAATGGAGGTTTTCATCAGTCAAACAGTCCAAAGTTTGAGCTTGTTTGTGGTTCAGAATCATAAACGGCTTCAAGCTCACTCAGACACTGAGCCATGGCTCTGTGCCACATGCACACATGTCTGCATCTCTGCCATTCAGACACACTTTATATACACTTCATGTGATGTCACTGTCAATACTGAACTGCACATCGAGTCTTTTTAAAGGAGGCAGTTTGTGTTGCTGTGATGGACAAGTTTGAAAGTGTTT